CACCCAGACACTCTTCGTGCCTCCTGGTCTGGGTCCTGCAGTGGTCTCTCCTGGGCATATCTCTCTAGTGCGCAGTCAGCTCTTACCAGGCCCCAAGACCCAGGTATAAACACGAGTGGGGAGGAGGACCTTGCCCTTTGCACACTCAGGGAAAGTGAATGGCTCCTTCCTCTGGACCCTTAAGCAAATACCACCGTCAGATGCCTCAGGACTCAGAGAACAGGGACTTCCCAAGTGGTGTATAGGCTAGCAACGCCTCAAAGATGGCATGGATTTTTATATGTTTCATTATTTTTGTTTGTCTGTGTGCTTGTACATGCATATTTGTGTAGGTCAGGATGAGTCTAGGGGTATGTGTGCCCATGTAGAGGCCAGAGGTCAACAGTGGGTATGGGTACTCAGGCACTGTCTACCTAATTATTACAGTTGTTGTTATTATTATTAAAGATAGGGTCTATCATTGGCCTGGAGCTTGACAATTAGATTATACTGGCTAGCCAGTGAGACCCGGGACCCACTTGTCTCCATGACCCCTGTATCAGGATCACAAGGTTACCATAACTCCTGGCCTTCTATTCTTTTAAAATGCTGCTTCTGAGGATGGAATCAGGTTCTCATTATTATACAGGGAGCATTTTACTGACTGAGCTATCTCCCCAATCCCCAGATTTTATAGTTTTTAACTATGATAATTAAACCTAATATCAGGGCTTTTAAAGTGAATAAGTGGTATAACTTTCACTAGATTTATCTCCAGAACTGCCTCACCCTCCAAACTGGAACTCTGTAGCCCATAACAATCACCGTCAGGATCTCCTTCCCTGCCTCTAAGGACCACCAATGTGTTGCTCTTAAATCCAGGCTCCGTGGCTCAAAGAGGTGAACCAACTTGTTCAAGGTCTGGCAGCTGGGACTTGGTGCACTGCACCTCACGGCAAGGTCCGGTCTCCTCAGGGGCAGTCAGTTCTTTCCAATGCTGGACGCCTCTGCTCTCATACAGGACCACAGGGGACTAACTTCCCATCCCGCCCACTACTGCTCTGCATTCACCTTCTAGAAGAAAGCCTGCCACACCGGAGACACTCAGCGACCACACATACCACATGAATCCACAGAGAGATTTTTGCTATTCTGCCTCAGTGCTGGGGATGGAGCCCAGATCACGTCCTCTACCCTCTGAAAAACATTTATCGGATGCCTACTGGGTGTCTGTCATACTAGAGTCTCCTGACTGCCTGCGGCTTGCTGGACTGCACCAGGAGGAGGGACCTGAAGGATTTCTCTGGCTGATGGTTGTGAGGAGGACGGGCTTGTGTCTCTATCACCCAGTCAATTTTGTATTTATTTCGAATGTTAAGCAGTGACATAAGAGCTGCTGACATTAACTTTCAGGGACAGAAATTGGCCTTAATGGATCCCACACAAGTTATTACTGATGACAGCTGCACACAGCAGCCCTGTGACCTCATCGGAAGCTCCCACCGCTGTCAATACTGTTGACCATACTCGACTGACGCAAGGCCAGGTGTGGAAGTGGAGCGCACGCTTGTGTGGCTGGAGGTCACAGGGGTTATGCTCTGCCCTTTACATCTATCAGGAGGTCCCTCTGAGAGCTTGGATGCACACTGCTGATGTTCTCAAGTGAGAGACCCTAACTCCTTATGACTCAGAGGGATGCAAGCGAGGGACCAAAGAGACCTGCAGTCCAATCAAAGCTTTGCCAGCGTGCTGATGGTGACTGTTGTGTTAGCTGGCAGGTGGGAATGCCATTGCCGTGTTGTGACAGTTAGAGGCCATCCCATGCATGCACTGGGGCTCTTGGATTTCCTTTATTCCTGAGCGGTGGCCTCACTGGGATGAATAACTAACACACCCAGTGCATGGAACCCTCCTCCTCTGATGAGATCCAAGCCCTCCTCAGAGGAAACGGAGAGAGCCAGGTCTAGAGGGGTGGGCGGTGGAGGAGCAGAGGACGGGATGGTGGGAGGTTCCATGGAAAGGGCAAGGGGAAGAGGGGAGTCTGGGAAGAACAGACACTCTTGACGCAGACGGCATGGCCTCTCAGAGCCTCAGTTTCCCCAGGTGAGCAATGAATCATAGCAAGGTATTCTGATGATCAATATCACAACAGCCATTAGCACAACTTGCCAAGGAGTCAGGGTTCCAGAGGATGGAAACCTGTGGGTGCCTGCTCTGGGAAGCCATGCCTGAAAGGGATGCAGAAATCAGGGTCTTTTGTTGGACTCCCCTCCCTCTCCTTTGCCTCTTCATTTCTTCTGAGTATAGCTGCCTTAGCTCTGTGGTTCCAGTGGAGATAGAAGCAGGGAAAGGGAGCCATGCCTACGCTGGGTAACCAGCCACCAACCTGCTGGCCCCGCTGTCTGCTGGCTCATAGCGCATGTCATTATCCCCCCAACAGAGGCTTAATCCAGCTCTCCTGGATATACAATAAAGTGGGCGGTGTATGTCTTATGCTGTCATGACTTTACAGAAAATGATCCTCAATCGCCCTAGCAAGAAGCCTTCAAAAGAACACCCAACCCCAGCATTTTTCTACTCAGAGAATTCAACAGGATAACTAAAGCTGATGAAGTTACGAGTTCAGATCGGTTAAAAGGCCCGAGTTCTAATTCCATCTAGCCAGCAGGTGAGCCGGAAAGACAGACTTCTTGGCCTCTGCGGTTACACTTCCTTGTTTCTGTGCAATGGTTGTAAAGAAACTGACTTCCAAGAGTTGAAGCGGTAGTCAGTGAGCTCCTGAGGCTGGAGTATGCAGCCAGCCATGCTCAGACGTTGATAATCAGGTGCGGTGATTAACTCTCCGTGCCCCTAATCCTTTCAGGCCTGTCTCCGTCAGAATCCCATCAGTCAGAATCCCACATCTACAAGTCCTGGACATCATTCAGCTCAGCTGGTATAAGAAGCAGCTATCAGAGCACCGCCCCCTCCCAGATGAGCTGGGTTCTGCGGTTGAAGGCTATGAGGTGGGCGACCTACAAATGCTGGTCATTTAGCCATCAGCATATATGTTAATATTTCAAAGGCTCAGAGCAGTCCAGCACAAGAGGATCTCCTGCTTCCTCACGATCACAAAACGTGCCCAACGCGCCCCTTCTCCTAATTTGAGAGCTTAGGAAATGAGAGCTGCTGATTTCACTAAACTGTAGATGAGGAGCGTGAGGACAAGAGAGGGGACGAGAGAGGGGACGCAGCCCAACCATTCTCCAGGCCAGCGACAGAAGACTTCCTGTTCCCCCAACCAGACCTCATTTTCTCCGAGCGCTGTTTAAAAAGGTGCTGTACTTCCACAGGTTAGGGAGTGACGGACGGGGCTGCCAGCTCAGCCTGGGCCTTCGTGGGAGATGAACGGTACAAGCTATCCACGGTGGGAGGGAAGAGCCACAGGGGCTGAGGCCGCGGGACCCTCCCTGGAGTTGGGGCAGGGCCCAGGCCCTGTCTCTCCTCCCCCACTCCTAGGAAGGATGCCACTGGCCCAGATGGCAGAAGAGACATCTGGAATCCTGCTGCTGCTGGCTCTTTAAGAGGGATGAAATCCTCTACCTGGTTCTGGCTCTCATGGTCAGCTGCCTGATCTCTAATCTGGGCTTTGATCTTCGGCAGCTCAGCTGGAGCTGTCTTGTTATGGACTAAATGGGCTAAGTCCTCATCCTGACCCAGATGCTGGCTGGGAATCCAGGTTTTTGCATTTAGAGCTGGCAGCCAGTAGGGGGCTCTGGCATCTGGCTGGCTCTTCTCATTCCTTCATTAGTTTGTTTTATTACAACATCCCATGTTGCATTGTGCCTGTTATAGGAGTTGAGAGTAAGAGCCCAGACCCCTGACCAAGCGTCTCAGAAACAAAAGCCTCCCCGGATGAGGCTGTTCTGGGCTCTGACAGTGACCAAGGTGGACTCTGAGTTCCTCAGGGCCCCACCAACAAGATCTGAGGGGAGAGGATGACTCCGAAGCTAAAAACATAAAAACATGTGCAAACTACTTGCTCTTTTCCTAAAACTGTAGCACCCCGGGACCTCGGAGGATGAAACACAGCCTGGAGTCAGCTCCTCACGACTTATTTTTACTTTCTCAACTCTTAACTGACGAACGGCGATCGCATACATCGACAGGTTATCATGCGATGTTTCCATAGACGTACGCGCATGCAGTGGAAGGATTCAATCCGGCTGACTGCCAGTCTACCACCTTATACTCTGAGGGAGGAGGGGACCTTGGTAACCTACACCTTTAGTGAGTTTGAAATACTCATAGTAGGTTGAAGACCCTTCGTCTTAAAAGCAGAAAATCTGAAATTCTGAACATCGTGTTGGAATAGGAAATTTCTAGATTTCAGATCTGGGGGGGTAGAAATCTTCAGCAGGAATGTCTATGCAAATAGACCCACTTTAAGCAAACTATGATTTCCTGACTCCAAGCTTTTGGGTGACTGGGCAATTCCACACATTCATCATATAAACTTATTCCTCCTACTGGAAACTTTGGAGCCTTTGACCTCTATCTCCTTTACACCCCAAAGGTCAAGTTGCTCCTACATGACAGTCTTAGTCTGTAGACCCTTCTTCTGAGCAACAAAGGACAGCGGGACTGGACAGTGGCCCTGGAGATGGCCTAGGACTGGTGGGGGAGGGGCAGCTGGCTGCTGGAGAGTACAGGAGCAGAGCTGAGCACTGCACAGTTCACAGGGAACCAGCTCTCCAGGGGATGGGTTACTGACACCGGCAGCCCTCTGCTCCCTTACCTTGTGAGTAATAACCCAGCGCTTTAGCCTTGCCCTAGTCCGGACTCAAAGTCTCTGACACATCACTGATGGGTGGGCCTTTCATGCGACATTATAGAAGGCTCTGACTCTTGCCCACTGAAGGCAAAGCCATTTTTCATCAGCTTCCCCAGAGCCCCAGGGAGAGAGCAAGAAATCAATATTATAATGCAAACCACAGTCTGGCCATCCCCGTAACCAACAGGCCAGGTGAGGAGGCACTCACCAGTCTCCGTGTTCTCGTGCTCCGTGTCTGTGAGCGTGAGGTTGGAGTTGGCCCGGCTGGACAGGCAGGAGCTGCGTCCTGACCGTGTGCTCCGACCCCACAGGCGCACTGGGTGCTCAGGGGACAGTACAGTGTCGGCTTCCAGGTCTGCCTCGGAGCTGGCCCCCATGGAATAGCCACAGTGAGGGAGGCCGATGTCTGTCCGGTAGAGGGTCCCATGAGGGGGTGTCATCTCCCCGAGCCCCAGCTCACGCAGGGTGAAGTTGGTGCCTGAAGGGAGACAAGGTAATTACGGTGAAGGGGCTGGGAGAGTTTTCCACACAAGAAGCCCCTTACGGCTGGGTTTCCTGCTGTACTCCAAACTCACTGTACAGCCCCAGCCCCCTCCTCGGCGTGCAGGGCTCCTGCCCCTCCTTCCCCTGCCAAGTGCTGTGCATCAACGCTGATTCAAGCTGCTGCCTTCCTCCGTGGAAACTCCGTGTTACCTACCTACATGTGTGCAGAGTTTGCTGTCTCTCCCAGTTCCCTCTGGGAGATGCCCTGCCTCGGTGATGTTAGATGGTGCCGTTGTCTGTCACTTTTGCTGAAGGTGGCTTCTATGCAAGCAGATGCTATATGTCTTGTTTATTTCTAAATTTATGTGTCTCCAGACAAACCCAGTAGAGTGAAGGCACTCAGTTTAATACATCTGTTAAATTGCATCGAAGGTTTCTGTCTCCCTTCTCAAATAGAACTTGCCAGTAAAGTCCAGACGCGGGCAGAAACTTCTTGAGTGAGCCCTGCACACATCTCTGGAGCCAAGAGTTCTTTCCCGGACAGGCCAGAGGAATTTGGAATGGGAAAGAGTTCAGAGGCTGGCACAGCCACGATTTGAGGGCAAAGTCGTAAAACCCTTCTATGCTAGTGGGTAAAAAATACGTCAGTATCTGGAGCCGCTACTTCCCCCCCTTACTCTGCCCTGGCTGTTCCAGCCACTTCTCTTCCACCCCTATCTATTACCCCCTCAGATCCAGATGCCAGACAATTAATTTCATGTCAGCAGGCCCTGGACCTCAGGGACCTCTGGGTTCTGCTCAGCGGCCAGTCAAATGTTGGGATCGGCTGGGGTATTGGCCTGACCAAAGGTTACATACTTGGAACCTCACTCCTGTGTGCCATACTCCACTCCTCTCTCATACATTTTTCTCCTTCTAAGAACAAGTGATGACGTGCACATTGGAGCCCAGTCCCCAGGTCCTTCCCAGGTCTCTGCAGATTCCGAGTCCTGACTGCTGTGCGCCCTCTCGTCCTCTCCTGCTCTCCACCCAGCCATAGCAGCGCTCACTGGGTTAACCCCCTCAAGAGAGGCCACTCTGCTTAGTGAAAACTCATATTTATTTGCCGTAAACAGCCTAAGCCGCATTGATTTCCGTAGGGCTTTCCCTCCGTTCCCTTTTAAGCTGACAGATTTGGCATTCGTACTGATGAGCAGAGGCATCTGGATAGAGAAGGGTTGCAAGGTAAGGGCTAAGTCCGAGAGTTAGGGATCCCAGTGAGCCAACTGGGCCCCTCCGTGAGGTGGGAGAGTCATTTCACCACGTGGTCTCTTTCTTGAAGAGCCCAGACCCTGGGTCGCCATCCTAACCTCTCTCAGAGTCTAACTGCAAACTCTGGTCTGGAGGTCACCTGAGCTTCCTTCAGTCGGGGGATAACCCATGCCCTGGTCCTTCAAGCGATCTTTTAAGATCCCAGATGGCCGTTAGCAAACGGGACAGCACATGCTTGAAGATGCCTAGATGTTCTTCCCCAGGACCAGAGGGACTCCTTTCCTCGGCCTGCTGCGCTGGGCTTGCATCTGAGCCGTGGGCTCACTTAGTTTTGTTGAGCATGGGCTGGGCAGGGCTAGAGGAAAGCTTGGAGGTATTTTGTCTCTTGCCTTCACTGAGGCTCGGAGGTGACAATATAAAGTCAGTAGCATTCATAAAGCATGGGTTCCATGCCAGGCTCTAGTGGCAAGGATATTGTTTACGGTCCTCACTAACCCTCACGAGCACCCTACCATCAGGTGCCATTGTCCCTCTGCACAGGTGAGGATGCTGAGGGCTGAAACCAGTGCAGAGCCAGATTCACATTTGGATCTGTCGGATGCCAGGGCAGAAGTTCTAAATCATGAGCCAGGGAAGAGCTGTGGAGACGACAGTTTTCAAGCCTGAGAGGCAGCCTTGCTAGTGGGACAGCTTTCATGTGGACCCAGGCCTGCGGGAGGGAGTGGGAATGAGGCCATAGGTACATGTGTGTGTGTGTGTGTGTGTGTGTGTGTGCATGTGTGTATGCCTGCATGCTCCTCTTTCTTGTTTGATCTTGGAAACACGATTCAATCTGGGGTTGCTGTGAGGATTAAACAGCAGTGCTAAAACATGTCTAAATTGCATAGCACATGTCTAAATCATGCGTGGCTGATGCTGTCTGTGGAGGGGAGGAGCACAGGGCAGAATCCCACAGACTGCTGTCATTGGGAAGGAACAAGGTCACCTACCAGGACTCACAGAGGCCTGGAGCAGAACAACAGGCTCCTTGAAGACTCTACGGTAGGAAGCAATCACAGTTGCAGGATGCAGCAACCGTTCAGATGGGCTAGGCCATGGGTGGGGTGGAGAGGCCGGAGACAAAAAATTCTAGGGAGCCGAGGAGGAAACTGAGGAAGGACTCCTAGCGTTGGGAGTCACTCTCGGGCTTCACTGAGGCTTATGCCTGAATGGGCAGCTCTAGGTTGGATGGTCATCGAGGCCAATCTTCCAGGACATATAACCATGTCCAGGACTGGGCAGTGGCAGAGGGGAAGCAGACAAGGGGTTGACTGAGAGGTATTCTGGGAAAGAGTGGCTAGACTTGGCTGAGGACTGGATGGAAGAAGGGTGTGGGGGGGTATCTAACAGCAGGATGTCTTCCAGTTGCTAAGCGGTTCAGTCTAATCATCCCAGGAGCAGGATCTCTCAAGGTCACGCAGCTCACACTGAGAAGGTGCTAAGATATGCTCCTTGAATGGATAAACCCACACACTAAGCACTGGTGTTTATCTAACACCTACCTCTGTTATCACTGCTTACAACGTACAGGTGTCCACACCCCTGTCCCCCTCACCAGTCACAGCAGCAGGGAGACTGCTCAAGGCCAGCTAACAAGGACCAGGGGTAGCAGCGGAAGAGCTTGATTCCAGGCTGGTACCCGAGCCCAGCCTCCAGCCAGCACTCTGAGCAAGGCAGCTGACCCAGAAAACATGTCTGTCCCAGTATGAACTGCAGGGTAGACTCTCAGCAGATCCAGGGCCCCAAATAGCAGGAACTTGGATTCCTCTAGAGTCACCTCCTCCCTCTCTAGAGTCCAGCTCACCTGCATTTTCATTCACGCATCACCTGTATTCTTTCGGGTTCAGCCCACACTCCGGCATGCACTCACCCGCGCGGCAGAACTCCTCGGCCTCTTGGGGTACCATGTCCTTGACGCGGCTGCCATAGGCTAGGCGGGCATCCTGGTCATAGGCCTTCAGGGTCTCACTGGAGCTGTAGGACTTCTGCGGGGCCTTGCCCTCCTCGCTGTCTGCCGACGAGCTGGTGTAGCGGCGCTCAGCATCGCGGCGCCGGGTCAGCGAACGGTAGGGCTTCCTCTCCTTCACGTCCATGGCCTCCGGCCCACGCTCTTCCACATCCACGAATTGGGCCCTTGCCGCACTCAGGGCCGAGCGGTCTGTAGTGGGGAAAAGCAAAGCAATGCTGAGCCTCAGATTTGGGTTGGGAGAGGCAACGCCAGTGTCTGCCCTGGACCAGAAGTACTCTAGGAGCAAAGCGAGTCAAAGACCAGGCTGCTGAGGTGTGGGCAGGCTCCATTGCTACCCTGCAGCCAGCAGTGTAGGGCACCTCTCACGGACAATCCTTTCTCTTTCTGTTGCTGGGCCTACCTACCTGAGGCTACCCCATGCTTTCCTCTAGGGATGGAGATCAGTGGGGCTACCAACAAAGACGGGAGGGTTGGAGGCAGAAGAATCCTTGCTACTTCTCATCTGAGAGAGGGCCTGACCCTGACTTAGGGGCTCTTGGTGTATCTGAGAGATGATGGACCATAGCCAGGCTGGGACTTATTTCTTCAGCAATCTCACTAAGTCACTGTAGGTCTGCAGACATCATACTGTCTCCAGCAGCCATCTCCACACTGATTTAAACTGTGGCTGCTTTGACTTCCACACCAGGAGTATACCGGGGTTTTCGCCGTTCCATGTCCTCACGACGAGCATTCGTTGCTATCCATGTTTTTTTTCAATGACTGGCCATTCTGGCTACACATTAACACTACGCTGAGATTCTGCTCACCCAGGTCAGAATGGCAGCGGATTTATTGCTCTGTTCTGAAGGCCTGAGAGCTTTTAGCTGAATGGCATCTTCGTTTCTCCTTCCAGAGTCTTTCTTTAGTCTGGGGCACAGACACAAGCTCTCCCCACCCCTGAACGGGCCAGGAGTACAGTACAGGAGGAAATCGATGTTTCATTCAAACGACTGACCAGACACTGTGCCTTCCTTTCTGGAAGCCTACAACCTCCTCCGTTCTGTTCCACTCATCACAACAACATGGATGTGCAAAACATTTCCTTCTTCACTGTTTGGCTAGAAAAAATGGCAGAGCAGGAGGCTCTGTGATAAACAAAACAAAACCGGGGACTCTTGCTGGACAAGACTCTGCCAGCCAGAGTGGCATTTAGTGCCTGCCAATGGTGCCACTGGTGTTTGGCGGGGAGGGGTTGGGAGATGTTTTCTGAAATTTTAAGATGAGCTGGGAATTTGGATTTTGAATTGAAATACATTATTTAAAGATATAAACTTTTTTATTTTTGACTTCGCAACATGTTGCAGGACAAACAAAGCCTGATTTGGTTGGAGGACTAGCAGGTTGGCTTGTGGTCATAGGCACCTGCATCAGCTCTTCAGACCTTCCTTCCTTCCTTCCTTCCTTCCTTCCTTCCTCCCTTCCTTCCTTCCTTCCTCTCTCCCTTCCTTCCTCTCTCTCTTCCTTCCTTCCTTCCTCCCTCCCTCCCTCTCTCCCTCCATCCCTTTCTCTCTTCCTTCCTTCCTCAAAGAGTCTCTCCAGGGTAGCTCCTAGCTCTACTCCAGTGGGAGACTCTGTCCACCCTCTTAAGAAGCCCTCTGGATGCACTAAGACCAGCCCTATACCCTAAGCTGAACGCCACAACCACTTTGCAGGGAGATGGTCTGGAGTTAGCGCTCGATGTCATTGGAGGGATTATGGATCCCGAGTGCTTACTCTAGACTTTTCCTGACATATTTTCCTTCACTTTTCAGAGCATAAACATTTGTGATTTTATTGGTGCTGCATAAAAACCATGAAGCACACATGCGACTGTTTTCATGGATCCTGAACCATTCAGCTTCCCACCTAGGCATGTAACATGAGTCAGTAGAAGCGAAGTCATTATTACTACAGAGACCAAATTTGTGCCTAGAAGCAGTCAATACGGAGTGAATTTCTTGGGGTCTTCATTCTCAAAACATGCTTGATAATCGGCCAGTGGTTTAACCCAAGACACACAAGAATTAATTCATATGATGAAGGCCCAAATCTAGGCTCTAAATTCTGTCGTCTTTGAAAAAATATTTACTTATTTTTATTTTGTGTGTATGAATGCTTTCCCTGAATGTATGTATGTATGTGTATCAAGGGTGTGTCTGGTACCTGCAGAAGCCAGGAGATGGCATTGGATCACCACATGGGGATCCAGAAGTGTATTCTGCCATCTCTCCAGCCCTTGAGTTCTGCTGTCTTGATGCTCAGCCTCCCAACACTCACTGCCAAGACCAAATTCTGAGGGTGTGAAAAGCAAGGCCACAGGGAAGACCAGAGAGCATCCACACCTTCTCTCCTGGGGCCTTCAGAATTCCCTGACTGCAATTCTCAGCTTAGAAACCAACTCGCAATGCATCCCATACATACTTTGGTAAGTGAATATATTTATGGAATATGTTACTGGAAGCAGAAAAATCTATAAAAGTTATAGAAGCATGGAAGCTAATGCTTGCTCATAGTTCCCAGGTTAATCTAATAGTTTTTTTTTAAAAAGATTGTATGTGTATGTGTGTGGGGGGGGCATGTGTGCACACTTGCAGAGGTCAGGAGAGAGCACCTCACTTCCCCAGGGTTAGAGTTACAGCTGGTTGTGAGCTACCTGACATGGGTCCTCTGAAAGAGGAACAAACACTTTTAACTACTGAGTTATTTCTCTAGCCCATCGATCTTTAATTTTTAAAGGAAGGCTGATTATAACTCTTTAAATTGATATTAGGATTCAGTAATGGCTTTTGATCCATAGCACTGTTCTGGTTTAATCTGGGTGAGCCTTGTGGCTTCCCTAGCCCCGGAGTGGGGGAAATGCTGCTGATATGAACACACACACACACACACGCACACACGCACACATGCACGCACACGATAAAGATTAGCTATCATGAACAGGCAGTACTAACGCACTCATAATCACACCAAATTAGCACCAGCAGTAGAAAATATATTTGTGGTCCGAGCCAATATTTCCTGGGTGCTGAATTTACCTGCTGTCATAAGTGATAACGTGTCAGATTGCCGTGCCAATCCTCCTATATGGGTCGTAGGACTACCCACAAATCTGTCTAGGAAGATTTGCCCAAGGTCACACGTTATGACCCAGGAAACTGAATTTGGCACATGGTTTGTTGGATGGTTTTGCCATCCTCGGCTGTGCCGGTTGAATTCCCAAAGCCCAGTTCACACCATCGATCTGCTTGTGCCCCCTCCGCATCATGGCCTAGCTGCTAGGACCAATTCTAGCTTCTTAACCGAAATGAACTTCTAGATTCAGATCATCTCGTTCCATCCCTAGACCCATGTCCACTTCCTTGTGCAGGGGGCACAGTCCCCACCACGAGGGGCGTGTCGTTCCTTTCTGGGACACACAGATAAGCGGCTACTGGTATGGAGTCTACCTTCCCTTTAGGGCAGGCCTGACCTTCATGGTGCTTGCAGATGCTCCCTGAGCAAATCAGGGAATAGAGGACTGTTTGGCACTAACTTCGTTCCTGTGACCCCAGCAAACTTTCGGCGGTTTGCTTTAGTAATATCTCACAACAAAACTAGTTGAATGTAAAAACTAAACTAGAGGTGCTACTTACATGTGTCCTTTGAATGTTGTGATCAGCCTGTGCTGCAGGTTTGTTTCCCTGCACTGACCAGCTGGGTGGCTTTAGGGCAAGATACTTAACCTATCTATGCTTCAGTTTCCTTACCAGCAAATCCTCTCTTGGCTGCTCTGGGAATTCAATGTGACAATACATGCCCCCGGCACACAATTAACACTCAATATGTATTAACTCTTAACTTCAGAAACCCCATTTTCAAAGGCATAATTGAGAAGGCCTCAACTAGATGTCAGTTACCATCAAAACAGGAGCACCTCACAGAAATATATGCTACCACGGCTGCTAAACTAGTGGGTGACAACACTCCCCACCAGTGTGGCTCTTCTGACTGAACACAGCAGCTTTAAGATGAAGAACGCAGCTGCATGCCCGTTCCCAAGAACGCCGCTGCTACCAACAGGGACGTCCCCAAGCAGAGCAGAGGCAAGGAGAGCCCGCCTTCCCCTCTTAACATAGCAATTCAGTAAATATTTATGTTTCTGTACAGATAGGGGGTCAGAGAGAGTTCACACGTAAATTGGTGTTTAGCAGAGTGAGAAGAGCTTGGGTGAGAGAGGAATGATAGGAGAACGAACTCCCTGGAAGCCTGCAGCGACCTGCGGCTCCTGACAGAAGGATGGGGAGATGGCGCGGGAGGTGCTCCTGTGCGTGGCTCCGCAATCCATGGATGGGTCAAGGACCAGCTGGAGAGAACACATTGCCTCAACACGCCTTGTATTTTTCTTACCCACTGCTATGCCTTGAATGGGTGTTGCGTCTCTTCCCACCCCTCCCGGCCCCTCCTTCACACCATGGTTGTGTTGATGGTATTTGGGAAATGATTAGGTTTGGAGGAGGTTATGAGGTTGGAGGCCTCCAGAGGAGATTGGGGGCTTCCTAGGAGAGGGAAGTGGGGCCTAAGCATGGGCCTCCCCCACGTTCTGTTCTGCTATTGACGCCCCTCCATCACATAGTCACAAAGCCAGAAGATGCTCACTCGAGGCTCTCTTATATGGCATTTCCTGAACTTCAGATTTCAAGAGGCAACTCTGTCACACCCAGGGCACAGAGTTCCAGAACAATTTGCAATCGGCTGGCATGAGCTACTGTTCTCACAGTCTCCATCTCTGTGACTTGGTTCCATTTTATGGAAGAAGCAGGGGTTTATAGGAGCTAAATAACCAGCTGGAGATGACAGGAAGGTCATCAGGAGGCTGCCATGACTCCTCTTAGGGGCAGGATGAGCTCTGGCCACCTCCTAACTGTGTGACTCTGGAAGGTTCCTCAAGCTAAGATACAAATAGTTCGTCAGATGCTTTGCCAACTGCAATGCTCTATGTCAGTATAAGGGATTAAGAATTTCTGATTAATGCCATTGTTACTGTCTTCATCATCACCCTCATTTTTGGTTTCGTTTCTAAGCAAAATATTCTTAAGAATGCAAACCGTGAGCTAACTTAAGCAGATGGGGACGTTTAAGGGTGCTCTGGGCAAAAGTGAATACATATCCAAGGAGTCAATAGTGGGCCA